AGGTAACAAAATATGCTTTAGATGTGCTTAATCTAAATGAACAAATCTTTAATAGGAACTTAAAATACCTGAAAATGCTTGAATTGCTTAATAATCGAGTTTACCACCATCCAGACTATTCATGTATCAAGTTAATATGCACCATCTGAATTTAGATATTTGATTTCATACTAGAAAATTCAAGACTAATCTATTCAGCTAGAAAAACAAATAGTAAATCAACATTCTCAGGTTGCAGATTGACAAGACTAAAATGACTTTCCAAGAGGCAGCTTTATATACATATTTTATCAGAATTCAAAATTACAGTTCACTTGCTTCTGCCCATTAAATTTAAAAACTGAGATGAGTTTGGTAGCCAGCCACAAAAGCCAGGACTTTTCTGATTTAAGATTTTAATGAAACTCTTTTTATCCCCCTGGGTTAGCTTAAGCATGGGGTGAGATGCCAATCCACTGTTTTAAAATTGGACACTTTATCTGAATTTGTGTTTTTTTTGTGTTTATTTTTAAATTTTTAGGTAAAAAATAAAGTGGGGAGGGAGGAAGAGAGAGAGAAGGGAAAGGGTTACCTTGTAAGGGGAAACCGCCATCATTCTATAACAGACAATAAGTTAGGAATTATATTTTATACAGTTCAGAGAGTATAATAGCTAAAATTTTCAAAATTAAGATGATGACTCTTACCTTCCTGTTTGGGAAAATGTTTGTGTGAGAAGATGATTTTCACTTCATAAACCCAAAGCCACTGGATTCTGAAAAACAATATGCCTAGAGGGAAAATCATCCCAGAGAAACTGAAAAATTGGTAAGCTCCTAAACTAAGCTAGGAGGATTTCAGTGAACTTTGGGTTCAGCTTTTCTTAGTCATCTTTGCTGCTCAAATGAGCTCAGAGCTGGCAGTGCTCTTCAACAAATTCGAAACAGACATGTTAATTCATTCAATTTTAAAACATTGAGAACCTACTATTTAGGCTAGGCGCTGGGGATATAGGTAAGATTCCCTGCCCTTAAGGAGCTTACACTCCAGCTTGTCTATGCCTCGAATGTTAAGAACAAATAAATGCACAAATGTATACAAACTTGAAAGAACAAATAAATGCACAGATGTATACAAACTTTAAAGCCCACGTTTAGATAAAGTACTGTGGAGCATTAGAAAGAAAGTGGAAATGTCTCTGTGGGGAACCCACTACATCAAGATAGACTTTCGAGGTAGGGTAGCCTTGATGGATGGACAGGTCAGCAGTTGAGGTAGGGGGCGGCGCTCTGGGCAGAGGAAGCGACAGCGCAGGCGGACTGCGAGGACAGACGCACAGAGGCGCGAAACTGCTCCGGGATCGCCCTCACACCCCTTGGTCTCCAGACGAGGAGGCTCAAAGGGGAAGAAAGCCAGTTCTTCTAAAGGAGTTCGGGAATATAAATCTTAGCAAATAGAACTGTACGAAAGGATCTAGCCCGAGGATATTTGTAATAGCTGAGGCCGGAGCCGCCAAGGTTCCGAAAGAAGGCGGCTCCAGTGTCGGCGGAGTTCTGCCAGTTTACTATGTGGTCACAGACATCTGGTCCTCAGGGCACCCTGCTCCCGGTCCCCGTCCGTACGGCTGATCCCTCCGATCTTCCAGGCACGCAAAATCCTCTGGAGGCTTCAGGGCCTGCAAATCCCGTTCCCTGAGTCTGGAGCCTCCTTGCTCTGGGGTCCAAGCTCGCATAACTCGCGCGGCCCCGCTGAGCTTGTGGGGACAACTGCGTTCTCCCGCCCGACCCCCCCCAGCTTCCGCGACCCTCTGGCCCAAGCCGGACTCGCGCGGCCCGCCGGGCGCAGCCTCCTCACGCGGAGGCCCGGCGCGCGCGGCAGCTCCTCGCGCAGGCCCAGACCCGGCCCGCCGCTCCTCTCGCTCGAGGCTCACCAGCCGCCGCCGCGCCGCCAGAAGCTCGAGGGTGAGCGAGCGCCTCACTTGCTGCCAGAGCGCGCATGTGTGTTTATCCCCTCACCTTGTTTTTTTAAAAATTTAATTTATCCCCCTGGTTTTGCAAGGTATCTCTTCTTGAGCTATTTGAGTCAAACAGTCTAACAATAGGACTGGCTCGAGGTCTACGCGTCTGAGAGGTCCCAGGGCGCTGGACGGAAAAGGTGGGTGTGTGGGGTTGTCCCTTCAGAGTCGCGATCCAGACTCTGGTGGCAGGAACTACTTCCCGGGGGCTGTGGGCCCACTATGGGCTTCTCTTGGGGAACACAGTTCGCCCGACCTCCTGGCTCAAGGCCGCCTGCCCTAGGGGACCCACGCGCCTGCCTCCTACCGCCATCTCCCGGCAGGCCTCCAGGGGGCCTCCCCGCCTTGGCCTTCGTGTCGGTCGCTCCGGGCCCGGGAGGTGGGGGCGACCGCACGGTGGAGGGACGCGCCTCGGGGCCCGGGCCAGTGAGCGGACAATGACCCCTTCTCCCCTTGCCGCCGCCGCCTCCCCGACACCGGCCCCCTTGCAGCCCCCAGGCAAACCTATTAGCCATTCAGGCCGACAAAACCCCGCGGCCCCGCGCATTGTCCCGCCGAGCGCTCGGCCACCGTCATTAGCCCTGATTACGCTGAGCCGCCTGACAGCCCTGCGGGCCGCTCGGCAGACCCCCCATTCACCGCCACCCCCCGGCCCCGCCTCACAAAAGGAGCGGAAATCGTCCGCGCTGCCGCGTCCAGGATGAATAGAGCGAAAAGCTGCTTCTCCTCTCCTCCCGCCCCATTCACGTTCTCTTTTGGATACAGTATTTTTTTCCTTTTTGTTAAAATTAGGGAGAAAGAACGAGGTCAAGGAAGATTTTGCTTGAGCTCCTTGCCTGTCAAATATTTGTTTAATGTAAACAAAGAGCAAGTCCTCCCCCACCCGGAGCCTCTCCTCCCCTCCCTCCCAGATTTTCATAAACAAACTAGGGATGGGAAAAGCGGCGGCGGCTGCAGGGAGGTGGAAGAAGCGGGGGCGGGCTGGGGGCGCGAGCGCGGCGGGTGGAAGCAGAGTGGATCATTAAAGTAGAGAGGAGAGGAACTTAAGCATTTGGGACGTAGGAGCAGCCATCGCACTTTTGCTGGAACTAGCGGGTGGTTGAAATATTTATAACCTGGAAAGTAGTCTGAGCTAGGGCTGGGGTTTAATCCTCACCTTGGTCAGGTCCATTGAAATTTAAAAACGCAGCCCCTTTCCACTCAACTGGGGTAACTACTTTGTGGGACATTGTTACAGGGAAAAAAATTACAGAAAAGAAAGGAAACCCATCGTATGGAGATACCTTAAAATTCAGAAACCGTCAACATTGCTGCTACCTGGAATTTTTTTTTTAAAAACTCTGGACCGGGATAAAAATGATACGGAAAAATATATTAAAAAGAAAACGAAAACTTTTACAATATCTGTTTCTGAGTATATTTGGACCAATTAAAATAAATCTCAGCGTGACGGTTTGGACCAATTTCCAACACGTGATCTTCAAACAATTGATTATTCACAAAAGCAGGTGCCACCAGGTTTCAGATAAAAATTGTAAAAAATCTTTTAAATAATCTCATCCCTCAAGATTCTGTTTTGTTAATGTAATCCTTAGGCAACAAGTTACTTTAAGCAAATTAGATGTACTTTAAAGGAAAGTGTATGCTCAAGGCTTTCACCAAAATAGGAAGAAAAATCTTCCATAAGCGATGGGTTTTCTTTCTTTCTTTTTTTATTGCTAAGCAATTGACAATTATTTAAACATTATTCCTAAAGAGAAAGTTAGGTTTTAGCAGTGTTAACCTTTTTTTCTTGAGAATGCTGAATGGACATTTCCTTCTGCTTTTAGGCATCATTTGAACTGATGTGGGAGTGGGATTTTTAGAATCTCAAATTCCTTTACATTATCCCACAAATTAGTCCTTAATCTTCCCTCTTTGATTTGGAAGCATCAGCTTAAGATAAATTTGCCAACTGTCCTCACCAAATGCTGGTTCTGGACAGCTTCGAGTTAGGATGTAGAGCTGGGAACAAGACAGGAAATCTGTTGATTTTTCATTGAAGTACAGAGCTCCTTGGCACATACAGGACTAAAGCCAGTCAAGGGAGGCACCTAGAGTGCAAAATTCTTGGAAGTCCTCACTCTCCACTCTCCGAGCCTTGCACTCGCTACACTTGCTTGATTTTAAGGGTGAACAGCTCCTTAAATTTTGGACTCTTAAATAAGTGCCTTCCTTACTTCATCAGAATTCTGACCCTACTTCTTGCTATTCTAGGAACCACCCACCAGGGCCTCTGAGAAAGAAAATAGCCCTGAGGGAACTCTACCATCCTAGTGTTTCAGGACCCACAGAAGGGCATTTGCTTGCTTTCCAGAAGAACAGCTTGATTACAAATCAAGCCCCCACTCCTTCCATCTAGAGGTCTTTTGCAAGAGAGTTTTTTGATTGTCAACAGTTCTCTGGATAAGGGCTGCTGTACACAATGACAACCATTTATAAAGCCCAAATAAGACCAAATCCGTTTAAGGGATTTGGAAATAAAAATCAACTTAATTCATCTCCAGGGCTTTCCCCATAGATCTTGCCATTTGACTGATCTTTGTCTTCCATGACTTATTTTTGTTTGGTTTGTACATTAGCACTTCTGCCCAAATAAGTTAGCAGGCTTCGGAACCAAAGAGTATTTCCTAAGGACAGAAAGGCAATCTGAAAGGAGTCAGTCCAGTGTGCTGTGGGAGCTCAGGGGGTGGGAGGGGGGTGGGGGGTGGAATTTCAGCTCCAATGATTTAAAAATCAATGTCAAATTTTATAATATGCAATTCATTTCACTCGGAAAAAAGCTCAGAGACACTCTGGGTAGCATTTAGTTTTTTTTTAGTGCAAGGACAGTAAGTGTTTTTGTTTATTTTGTGTGTGTGTGTGTGTGTGTGTGTGTGTGTGTGTGTGTGTGTGTAGGAGGACACTTTGGGAGGCAGTTAAATCCTAGGAATATTTGATATTTTAAATTGAAGCCATTACACGACAATGAGGCTTTGGAAAGCTTGTTTTATGTTTAATAGAAATCAGATCTTTAAAATGCCAGTTATTTCTCTGCAGCCTTCTACTTCATCCCAATATATGACATAATTTTATCCTGTCCCCCAATCTCAGCATGCCTTTTGCAGAAAAGTAATCTATTTGATTAAAACCCATGTCTGCAGCAAGAAGATACTAGTCTAGTTATTAACAACCTCTCCTATCTTCTTTTGTCTTATTTTAATATGAGTTCAATCCTAAATGCATTATATATTCACTCTAACATGATCATGGGTGCCCACTGCTTTTGTATGGGAGGAGGCCTAGAAGGAGGTAGAAAGCCTTTCTAACTTCAGAGCCTGGGTCAGAATAGTCCTGCATTTTTATGGAATAGGACTCACAATTGAGTCCAGAGTTGGCTTCCCAAAATTGTTTCTAAAAGTCATTAATTTTTCATACGAGTGTCAGACAACTCATAGTTACCTGTTTTGGGGATTGGGGAGTTGCCTTAAAGGGATGCTCATGTTGCCTATTTCTAGGTTTAAATATATCATACACACATGTATGTACATACATGCATACACACACATACAATTTGAGGAGATGGTGGTTATGTACCCACCGTGAACTATTTAAAAAATACACCAGGAGACATAAGAGAAGGCTCTTAGATGTCGAGAAGACTCTCCTGAGATCCTTTGCACAAAAGCCCTTTCCTGTCTGGTGAAGAGAATACTTATTTTTAGTAGTCATAGAGCAACTTCCTTAATTAAGAAAGGTTGCTCATCAGGATTTTATTGTTTGGCCTCTTCACATAGAACCCACTGGCCCTACCTTGTGCCTTTAGAAACAGCAAGTTCCCAAGATACAGAGAAACCCATCACAGCAGTCACTTAAATAAGTAAATAAACAGCATATATATATGTTTTGTTTTTTAAAAAACTTTAAAGTAAAAGTTATGCATATATAACATTGTCCTTTTGACTTGAAATACCCACGGGACATTCAGGGCAGGCGCTCAGCGTACAGTTCAGGTTCCGGAGGCATCTTTGCAGCAAAATCCTTGGGAAAAAGCAAAGCGAGAATGTGCCTCTGGATTGGTCCTCACCGCAGGCTTCTAGGGTAGCGGTCGGAGGGCGCCAGTGGAGCGGGCCAGCTGCGGGGCGTGCACAGCAGCCCGAGGTTCACTGGCCCCAGGTCCCTGGCCACCACGCTTCGCAAGCTTTGGGTTTGCTTGGTCTCTCATTCTCTCACCTTCTTTCATTTTTTTCGTTTTTTTTTTTTTTTTAACACCGGATTCTGTTTCTGAGCGTGCTGGATGGGCAGCTCAGATGTCGCACTCGCTGTCGCTGGACGTGATGGAAATGGCCGAAGTGGCTGCCTTGCTGGATAAGCTGGCGGCTGGGCTAGCGGCTGCACCCAGCATCTCAGGCGTGCCCTCTTCCTCGGCCCTTAGCGCCTGCCCGGAGCCTTGTGACAGGACCTGCTGCTGGAGTCTATGGGAAAGAATGAGGCACAAGTCACAGCGAGTAACATAGCCTCCCGTCGCCCCTCACCCCTTTAACTCAGCGGTCAGCCCGTTCTCCCTCACACCCGGGCAGTTAAAGTGGGTAAGATGAGGCTACAGGCTGGGCGGAGTACGCGGCCTCTTTGCCGCAGCGCCCTGCAGTTGCCCCATCCTTCCGAGTCCTTGGCTCCCCATCTTCCCAGTCTGAGAGAGGATGCTAGCTCTCAGGGTCATTCCCAGTTTGGCCAGTTTGGCCACCTTTGGGAGATTTACAACATTGTCAGGATCAACGAAGTGTCAGGATAAATGAGGACAGATCAGACCCCGGGAATGGGGACTCCCTTCCTGGGGTGCACGCCTGGGTCGGTGCCCCAGAGGCTGGGTCTGCCCAAAGCTAAAGGCAGAAAGGGCTGCCTGAGAGTTGCACGGAGCATTTGGACCTGGGGGAAGAGTTTGGGTTCTTGGTTAAAATGTTTGGCTAATTGAGATCCACACAATCGGGATGAAATCCCTAAGCCGAGATCAGTTTGCTGTTTTGAGACGGCTGCCCATGCTGGGAAGAAAACTCTACTTCCCAGTTCTTAGAAAACTTTTCAAGGCAGTAGAGGATTCATCTATGCCTTAAAATAACAACACTAAACTACCACATTGCTAATACCACATTGCCAGGTTTCACTTACCAACAGGAATCTGGGCCCAGGCTGACAAGAATTAACTTTGAGCCTTAGGGTCCTTGATTGTTTCTGGGATTTAAATTTTTATTTCTTACCCCCTGCACCCTCCCACCCCAATGCAGCCTTGGTTTGGTGATTGGAACTAGGTGCTGGAGCAACCCAGGCATCCAGAACCGGGAGAAAGTGGGGAACCAAGACTCCGGAAGGAACTCCCACCCATCCGCCCAGGATACCAGAACTCGGCGGGCTGATAACCGAAGACAGAGTGCTCTCCCAACTCCTGCGGAATCCAAGTCGCCAGGCCCTTGGGTAAGGGTGCCCGGGGTGCTGCCGCCCACCTCCTCCCGGTGAGTGCAAGGCGCAGAGGCCTCTAGGTACCCACCTGTTCTTGGCTGCAGCCGCTCGGTCCCTTTGTCGGCGGTTTTTGAACCAGTTGCCCACCTGCGTAGGGGTCAGTCCGGTTGCCTGGGCGAGCTCACGCTTTTTGCTGGGGTTGGGGTATGGGTCCTGCAGGTACCATTCTCGTAGCAGGTGCCGCGTGCGCTCCTTAAAGCAGTGTGTCTTCTGTTCGCCGTCCCAAATGGTGCGCGGCAGCGGGAACTTCTTCCTTACGCGGTACTTGTCCACGGGCCCCAGGGGCCGTCCACGTAGCTTCTCAGCTTCCTGATAATGCGCCTCGAGCCACAGCGCCTGCAGCTTGGCGTGCGACTCCTTGGTAAATTTGTGGTTTTCCAGGATATGGTAGAGCTCGCGGTAGTTGCCACCGTGAAAGGCCACGATGGCTCTCGCACGCAGCACCGATTCATTCTTATTAAGGGCCTCGCAGGCCGCAGGGGCCACGGGCAGCGACCAGAGGAAGCGACCCAAGCGCTCCACGTCGCCGCTTTCCTCCAGAGTCTCGCATACTCCGGCCACTTGCTGGGCACTGAAATTCAAGATGGGCAGCTGGAACATCGAGGCAGGACGGGCGGTAGCGGGGGCGCTGAGCCACGGCGGAATGTGCAGCAGATGCCCGCGGGTCGGCCGGGTGCGCCAGGCTCTTTAGTGAGACGGCACGGGGCAGCCGGGACTCACAGCCAGGCTGCAGCGGCGGCGCTACTGCTGAGAGAGAGCGAGCGGAAAGATTGGAGGAGGTGCCGGCTCCGCCGCTCGGTTCGGCTCGGCTCGGCTCGGCTGGGCTCCGCTGGGTTAGGGCAGGTAGGCCGGCAAGAGGGCGCCGCTACTGGGGTGGGCGGATTGGCAGTGCGGGCGCCATGGAGACCCCCTGTCAGTCACTGGTCGGCTCTGCCAATCAAGACTGCGACCAGCGTGCCCTGGCCATTTCAGCACCTCCCCGCTCTCGACAGCGCCGGGCGTTCACCCGTGGACTTCTCCTCGGTGTTTTGCAGAACTATGAGGAGAAGGAAACGACGTGCAAGTGGCTGGGAGAAAAAGGCGAGAATGGCAGTGTTTCAACATCCCCACCTTCCACTTCAGCCATGTTGCTACCGCCTCCCACTCCCCAAAAGAGGCAGTAATGCTACAGGAATCCCACTTAGGAGCAATGCACTGTCTGGGTCAAGAAAGCTCCAGAGGACAATGAGGACTGGACCAAATAGAAATTCTCTTCGAATTCGCCAGGTTTAATTGTAACGAAACAAAACCATGTGGGGAGTGCACGAATGGGAAGGGAGTGGAAGTGGATCACCTCATTTCTTCCCAGCACCCATCCCTGCCTGCGTTTCCCCATTACCAGCTGCCAAAACAGCCAAACGGGAAGCGAATCTGAAGCAGAAGGAATGGGACCGGTGATCTGTAAAGAGGTCAGTTTGGACTCTATCCCCACCACCTTCAAAAGCCTCCTGAAATTATTTTAATTATGAGCTAGAACACGCACAACTGATAACACAGGTGCTGACCACAAAGTCAAACATTCACAAGAAAAGGGGCCTAGCAGCCCAAGAAAGTTTAGACTTTGCAGCAGCCCCCCCACCCCAGTTTAATGGGCTTGAACAAATGCAAAGCATAACCACATCTAAAATGAGAAGTCATTGGTAGGTAAGGACAGAAACTTAAAAGCTTATTTCAAAGATCTTTTTAAAATTATCGATTTGTTTTTCTTGCAGGCTAATTCTGTCCTACCCTGTGGTAGAACATTTAACTCGAGCTGGGGATAGAAACTCTAACCTTGGCCTTTTAGCCCAAGTAAAAAAGAGAAGGGGAGGTATCAGAGCAATGGGGGCAGAGGCACAGAAAAGGCTGCCTGGTGGCTGAGCACTGACCCCTCCTGCAGAGAGGAAGGGCCTTCTTAGCAGATCGGCTTTGGGGCCTGCAGATTGAATTAGCAACTTTTATTGATTCCCAATTGACTTCCACATCAAACTGTTTTCTGAGGCCTCTGGTCAAAGAAACCAGGATCTCACCTGGGCCTTGATAGGGGATTGTTTAGTTAGAAGAAAATAATTGGGAGAGGAGTTCAGCACAAATGTCTGGTGAATCATCTTTGGAGGTCCATCACCAGAAAGAAATTAGATACTAATATTCACTGTGGAACTGAACTGGGCCAGGCCGTCTTTTCTTCAGTATCAAGTACAATTTGTATGTGGCTTGTACAGCTCTGGTAAATCAGAAGACAGATAGATAGCACAGATGGTTGGAGGTGTCAGGTCAGATCATGCTATGCCTGAGTGCAGAGCAAAGCTTGTTCTGACGGAAAACCCTGATATTATTTTCACAGATCTTCACAGTTCACTCGAAAAAATAGCAGAGGGGAAGAAAAAAGCCCTGTAACCATTTACATCATTTCTGTGAGATAGCCAGCCGCCTCAACAAAGAGGCCTTCTTTTTTAAGAGCTAATTTTCTTGAAATGCGACAGGGCAGGGGCAACATAGAGAGGGTGATAAGGATAATCAAAGCACAAGCTTGGAGCATCTTCCAAATCCTCCGGAAAGACAACTTTTACTGAGAAACGTCCCACACAAGGGCCCAAAACATGCTGTGTGGAAAACCTGGCCAGTGGTGGAGGCTGGGCAGGGGTGAAACAGGACCTCAATCCTGGCACCTCTGGCAGGGGAAAGAAACCATTCCTTGCTCCAGCCTGCAGAGGTCTCTTCATATTCCTGTCAGGATGTCTCTCCTGAGCATAATCGCGTCACGCTCGCTCACAGTAGAAGCTTCAGGTCTGCGAGACCTTTCAGCCCACGAGCCCAGAGAGGCCCCAAGCCGCTAGTGGTGATGGGGAAGTTGTGGGTGCCCCAGGGACCGCACCTCCCCACACCCTTTGCTTAACAGTTTGAAAGCTGCGGATTTGGGGGAAATTGGCTTCTTGCTCCTTAGTCTTTGAGAGCAAACTGTGTTAATTTTCCGAATCTAGATGTCTTATCTAGGTACCAGGAAAAGGGAATATTTATCCCATTTCTTGGACAATAGTTCTGCAAATATTAGAGAGGGAATTGAGGCTTTTGCGTGTTTGGAGCTCTTGGAGACTGGGACCGAAAGCCTAGGTTGGCCGCGGTGCAGCCGCGGGAAAAAGGTGCTGACTGCAGGCAGCTGTCAGCTCCGCAGCATGCGGTGTGTGGGCGCCAGGCGGACGGGGTCTTCAGTTAGGAGATCCTATCTTCGCCATTGCAGGGAACTTGGTTTAACTTTATTAACTTAAAGGATGTAAACTGCCCCGGGGCACCTTGAGATCACTATTCGTTCATCAGCTTTACTTGAGGAAGGGACAAAAGGAAGACATGTGTGATCCCCCCAATCCCTGGAAATGAGAGAAGCTCTGCCGGGTTCCTTAGAAATAACGCCACTGTGGAGAAGGTGTGACCTCACCCCCACCCCACTCTTAAAGCGTAGTTCTCCCGCGTTTGCTAGATGAAAGCTAGACCTCCGGGTTGGCTTACCTTGATTTTACAGAAGGTTACATTTTTTCCAGTTTTGAGACTGCGCCAATCCTCCAGGCAACCCCTACGTGCCACCCCTGACTTCATTTTTCTTTTGCGCTTGACCAGGAAACCCAGAAAGCGCAGCGTCAGCCCTTGGCCTCAGGCCTATTTGGGCAACTTTGCAACTTTGTTTGCAATTTTTTGTTCCTGGTTTGCAGCTAGTAGTAGATTTGGGAGGCCTTGCGCAAATACTCAGTTCTAGCTGGGAATTCATAGACTTCTATTTTGCTTTCTGCAGAATCAGAGTTTTACTTTATGGGGAAAAATATGAAGGAAAACACGGAGAAGACAATGTCCCTGGGCAGATTCTGTGTTAACTGTTCAGTGAGGCAGCAGCTGGGCAAAGTGAGCTGTGAGGTTCATACCAGAAATCAGAGTTCAGTCTGGGACTTCCTGCACATATGGGTTTCAACCCTCCTTTTGACCCTTTTGATTTTCCTTTCTAGAGGGACATGTGGAGCCTTGAGTACACCCTGCTGAACAAGTTAGAAGACAATACATCCTTACCTCTAGGTTCCAGTCTCTTGTTTTGTCTTGTCTTTCACTTTTCCTAAGTAAATGCCTGTAAAATAAGTGATATGTCTGTTTTTTTCCTACACAATTTCACAAAATCAGAGCTTTTAAGAATGTAGTAATTGAATACATCTGAATTCGTTGATAAAGACATTTGTACTGTATTTGATAGTCACGGACTGCAACACAATAAGCTCCCAGCCTTTTGTGTATGACCATTTTGACTTTGAGAGGAAAGATCTTGGTTTCCCTTTCCTGGGCCTCAAAGCTGTGTGTTACCAGTAGGTGAGAAAAATGTTAAAAAAAAAATTGGAAAAATTTAAAAGGCATTTTACAGTCTTTGAAATTACAGTAAAAATTTTTACACCCAATTTTTTTTCATGAATTTAGTATTCTGGTTTTCAGATGATACCATATACACATAGATATATTTGTTTCTATTGGTGGTCCAAATCTTCAATTATGGAATCAATTCAGTATACTAGTTTTAAAGTATTAACTATCTCAATAAGCTCCCAAGGTAGATTGCTCTATTTCATGCATTCCTCCCCTGATAGGATGCACCATAACAAAGAACAGAGATGCCTCTTTATTGTGTGTTTCTTAGAACAAAGATAATTTGAGAAATGTTTTGTAGATTTTCTGGCACTGTAAAATGAACTGACAAAAAAGTGTTACAATTAAAGTATTCATCTAATTTTAAGAGATTAGCAATTTTTTGTTATTTGCAAAATTATTCACTAGATATTTTTTAAATGATGCAAAATTGCTTATGTTATTAAGTGGAGGAAATTTTTATTAGCTTAAACATGGGAAAATGTACCATTTGAAAGTAATGATTAATTAGCAGTAATGTTTTTTTAAATGTTAGGCTGACTATGCAACTCTGTTTTGACTTCTAGTTTGCTGTTGCTCTTAGGCATTTAGAAGAGAATTTGTATTTAAGCCAGAGTATATTACATGTTTTACTCATTTAAATTATGATCTTAAATTCACGTTTCTCTCTTTTTTTCTGCTTCTGTGGGGTAAGCATAAGTCTGGACAGGGCTAACTACACCACAACATAGCTTGCCTAGAGCTATGTATCAATGGGCTCTTGTGTGAAGGATTAATTATTAAAAATAAAGCCAGTGTGTCACTTATAAACACTTTATTATCAATAATGAAACAATAGTTGAATGACTAAAAGAATGATTAATTCATACTGGAACTTAATTTTTTTCTATCAGCAAATTATTTTTGACTATTTTCAAATCCAAGATCAAAGTATCTTTCTAAAATACACATATAAATCTTAAAATTCAATGACATGAAAGAGTGTAAATTTATTTATGTCCTCTGGGATGAGCCAAAGGTTCACATTAAATTGTACATATGTCCTATATATGTATAAACTACATGTATTGTACGTATAGTAAATAATAATTCCCTTCTAATTACTATAAAATCAAATAGAGGCATGAACCTCTAATAAGATACCTTAAATTCTCTGACTTGATCTAGTGGGTGGCAGAAAATATTTTAAAAATATTGTGTTATAAAAAATGCATTTACTTGGAATCTTACCCTTCAAAGCAGCAAATCTCAACAAAGGACAAATTTTTATTCCCCCTTCCAGCAGACATTTGGCAATGTCTGAAGTCGTTTTTAGTTGTCACAATTGACATCTGTTGGGTGGAGACCAGAGATGCTGCTAAACATTTTACAATGAACAGGGCAACCCTATCACAACACAATGTTACTAGCACCACTTCTAGGAAACCATGTTTCAAAGGATGTCAAAATAATCAACAAAGCATAGACATGCAAAACCTGCTAAAATGCTGTTTATTCTGGAGCTAAGGCACTTTGAAAGGAATCGGTGCTCTTTTAATTTCACTTAGGTCTAAGCCATACCAAAAAAATATGTTCCTAAGGACCTACTGTAATTTTGTTTTTTCTTAAAATTTACTGTAATGATACTTAGAGTGACTGAATACATACACATTTAGAAATATTTCTGGGAAAAGTGGAGTTTTAATTGTATCATGTTAAAATCTATGTTCTCTGAGCAATTGGTGGGACAGACAGCAATGGTTGGAAGTTATCGCTCTGTCACTCACCACTTAAAAATGAAAAAAAAACATGAACAAGGAAGTTAAATCATATTACACAACTAGTTAGTGTCAGAGATAACCTTAAAGCCAGAATCAAACCTCTATCCATTATATATATATATATATACCTTGCTTTCCCTACCCAAAGAAGGTGGTATAATTTCAGTTGAGTTTGAGGGCAGAGGATCTGAATCACACCTGAATATTTATTGGTAGCTCCATGTGTAAGGTCCTATGCCTTTTCCTGCTGCTGTGACTTTTAAGAGTTTGGTGCAGTCTAGTTCATGGATCTCAAAGAGATTTAAACTATTCTGGGTCTTGTCAAGTGGTGTACCCTTGCAAGGCCTAAAAAGTCCTTGAATCTCAAATGTGACACTGGGTCTTCCAATTATCTTCTTTGGAAAGTGGGATTGTTGAGTCTGGGTATATTGAAGACTTTCCTTTGAGTCATCACATTGTATACTAGGAGGAAAATGGAACTGAATCAAGCCTTTTGGGGAGGAGAGATTTGACTTGAGGTGCTGTAAGACTTGGTTTAAGTAAAAAAAAAAAATCTCTGAACTCTTTTGTCAGGTCTTTCAAAAGAATAACAGTGATGCTCACTAGCATTTCTATAATTAACAAGCTGTCAACATTTCTATTATGACCACAGAAATCTATTACAGATCACAGAATTGTGATAAATGTTTCTTTAGGTCTGAAATGTTAGCCTTCATCTTCTTTTCAGCCTAAGGGCAATTTTTGAAACCAATTTTGTTTCAATCATTTTGGATCAGTTGTTTGGTTGTTTTGGAAGTGCAGATGCTCTAGGCCCACCTATTGAAATAAAGATTTTTAAATGGAAACACAGAGAGGAGTCTGCTTAAGCCCCAGTGGGGACCAGCTGCAAAGCTCTGGCAGGGAATTATATAGGCAGACAGTGGGAGTAGATTTAGAAAAAATTAGGGGACTGGGAAATGTGTGCATATTTCCTTTAACAGATTTTTTTCCTCAGGTCCTTCAAACTATGGAATTTTAATCCTCTATTTTTTCTGTTTTGTATTTTGTCTGTTATTACTTTCTCTTATTATTACTAGTTTTGGTGAAATTAATGTAGGGGGATTTGTTATTACAGCTATTAAAATTTGGGGCTGACCTGAATTTAAAAAATTTTAGCGTTTAATTTTTACCCTTCATTTAGTTAAATTTTCTTTCTACCCCTCTCATCTCCTTTCTGCTTGACTACCTTTTATCTTTATGAGTCCTTTTCATGGTCTCTGAGAGGTCATATTTCCCAATGATTGTAGTTCCCTATATTGTAATAAATTGTATTTATTTTCTTTCCTTTCTTTTCTCTTTTCTCTGACTCCCATGACTCCTTACTCTGCTTCCCATTCTCCACTGCCAAGTATCTCCTGACTAAACTCTTCACTAAGCCTTATTAAAATTGTGACGTAGACAAAGTGCTCATTCCTGAAAGTATAGGTGGGGGATGGGAGTGGTTCTTAGAGAAAAGGGGCATAGATGACCATAATGATGTTTCAGGACAGTGATGCTTCTGCAGCTAGACATTGTGGAAGCAGGTAAAATAGCAGAAACAGCAAGGACTCAAGATAATTTATTTATAAATTTTTTTATTGAAGTGTAGTTGATATACAATATTAAATTGCTTTCAATTATACAACATAGTGATTCAACAGTTATATACATTATTAAATGCTCACCCCAACTAGTATAGTTAGATAATTAAAGTCATTGCACTAATGACATCATTTTAGGACCCCGTTTGCTTATCAGATAAATAGTATAATACTCATTACGTAGAGTAGTTATAGGGAATAAATATGATTATGTGAATGACCATTCCTTGCACAGTGCCTGGCTCATAGACTTAAACCAAGAGAAGTTTATTCTCTCACAGTTCTGGAGGCCAAGAGAATCAAGGTGCAGTGTTCCTCCAGAGGCTCTAGGGAGGAATCAGTTTGTTGTTTCTTGTCTTTTTCTGGTGGGTGTCTGCATTTCTCAGTTGTGGCTGCATCTCTGTCTCTGTCTTCTATCGTTTTTTTCTTCTCTTCTCTCTTACTTTTACTCTTGCTGTGAAAACTCCCTCTGTTTATATTTTATTAATGCATGTGTTGCATTTAAGGCCTGTCATATAATCCAGGATAAGCTCCTCCTCTCAAGATCTTTAAGCATATCTTTTACCATGTAAAGTGATGTTCATAGATTCTAGGGATTAGGAGGTGAATATATCCTTGGGGGCTTATTTTTCAGTCTACCACATCCACTTACATGACAAATGTATTAGTTTCAAATGTTTCTTGGAAATAAATAGAATAGAACATTTTAGGCGGTCAATCCACAAGTAAGAGAATAATCCTTCTGGCTTTGTTTTGATAAATTATAGATTTTTCACAACAATATTGTTCAGACTCAAGATTGGTTTTATACCAAGCCAAAGAAAATTTCTTCATTTTCATATTGTTTATTTTAAAGCGTCCTTTAGGACCTTAACTGAACAACTAAAGTAGTAGATTTATCTCATGAGATAAAATGAAAAAGAAGATTCTATCCTTCTTTCCATGTGTTTATCCTAGTATAGAGTTGAAGCATATTATGGCATACTGAAGTACAATTCACAGATATAAGAAGAAAATTGCAATTTTATATGTATCTTTGTTTATTTTAAAATATTTATTGGTAGCTCCATGTGTAAGGTCCTATGCCTTTTCCTGCTGCTGTGACTTTTAAGAGTTTGGTGCAGTCTAGTTCATGGATCTCAAAGAGATTTAAACTATTCTGGGTCTTGTCAAGTGGTGTACCCTTGCAAGGCCTAAAAAGTCCTTGAATCTCAAATGTGACACTGGGTCTTCCAATTATCTTCTTTGGGAAGTGGGATTGTTGAGTCTGGGTATATTGAAGACTTTCCTTTGAGTCATCACATTGTATACTAGGAGGAAAATGGAACTGA